ATACGAAGAAGCGAAACCGTACGCAGAAAGGGCTGTAGCGATAAGAGAAAAAACACTAGGACCGACGCAATCATTGTTAGCTGATTCGCTATGTAATCTAGGAGGTATCCTCATGCACATGGGACAGTACAATGAAGCCAGAACATATTTAGAAAGAGCTCTGTCCATAGCAGAGAATGTTCATGGTGATAATCGTCGCAAGGTAGCAGCCACCCTGAATAGCCTAGGGCTATGCTTCCTGCATTTACGAAAATACGAATAGGCAAAACATTACATGGAAAGGGCTTTAGCCATAGAAGAAAAAACACTAGGACCGACGCAATCATTGTTAGTTATTTCGCTACGTATTCTAGGAAATATCCTCATGAACATGGGAGAGTACAATGAAGCCAGAACGCATTTAGAGAGAAGCCAGTCTATTCAAGTACAGGCGTTCGATAAAGGACATCCAAAGTTGGCTCAGACACGCAAACTTCTTCAAACACTAAAAGAGAAAGAAGAGGAAGTTCGTAGAAAAAGAACAAGTGAACTTACCGGCACAAGCAGCAAAAAAATGCGTCGATAATATAAGCCTTGTTAACGAAGAAAAAAGATTCAGGTTTCAGACGAGAGTTTCGAGGTATTCAGACAATTCTACATCAGTGAACATAATTAGCATCCAGTGTTGGACCAAGATATCTAAGCGTATGCACGTGACCCTATAAGAAGCATAGCATTGGACCATTTTAATGGTCCCGGATAAGATTAGAATTTCTCAAACTCATTAATAATTCATGACTTAAGAGTCATGAATTATTAATGAGGTTGAGAAATTCTAATCTTATCTGGGAAATAAGTTATTGAATACTTTCTATCGAGATAAATACACATCCTGATCGTGATACTTTGGTCTATATAATTTACGTACTCCAGCAGTTCTTGAATGCCCATAATACTGTAAAGTAGAGTATAACTGCATATAGTATAAACAAGAGAATATGAACTAAGAGAAGGAATCCTCGTGTCCCATCATGTGCACATTTTGATGCTATTCTTAGAATCCGAACTATTTTTAACCCGTTAACATGCTCGCGCGATAATCATGCTTCCCTTTAATGCCTCGTTTTAGGACACGAAAAGCGCCA